CTCGTATGGTGGCCACACAGACAGCAGCGCCGGCCATGCAGCCGCGATAAATTTGCATACAGTTCTTGGGACGCAGGCAGAGGCCGCCGCTGTTGTAGGTGAGGCCCTTGCCAAGCAGCAGGATGGGCTTGTCCTCGGGCGCGGTGCCGCAGTAGTTGATCTCTAGCACAACGGGCGGCTCACAGCTGCCCTTGGCGACCATTAGAAACGAGTTGAGATGATTCTCCTCAATCCAGTCCATGGAACGTATATCGACGCTCACACCGCACGGGCACAGTGCATCCACAGTAGACTGTGCGAATATGGTGGGCGTCATCTGATTGGCCGGCGCATCACTCAAGCGTCTGGCCAAATTTTGTGATTCGGCCTTGAAGAGGCCACGCGTCCATGCATCCACATCGGGTGAATCATACAGCTCCAGTTTGGGTATGTGTGTGCGATCCTGTTTACGGCGATTGCTATTATAGCGCCAAATGGCCAGGGCGCTGCCCTCGGCCGCTTGCTCCGGATATTCCATGGAATCCACAAAGACATCCGTGACGCCCTGCAATTGCAGGGCACGAGCCCCAACGCCGGCGGCAACGCGTGCATTCTCCATGCCCTCATCAATCATTTCCAGGTCATTAAAGCCAGCGCCCTCCTGTCCCAGGCCCACCACGGCAACGGCACTGAATTCCGGATCCACATTCATAAAAACTAATCCCTTGCCCAGATCGCCCTTCATGTTTGTCTCGCGCACCAACTCCGAGATTTTGCCCTGTGCCCGATCATCGAACTTCTCACCGCTGGACGTCAGCTTGGGCTCCCTGTCGCCCTCCTTGGTGTATACACCCACCACAACGCCCTTGACAACGGCTGAATCATCGCACTTTGTGGCAAAGCGCCGACACTGCTGAATTCCAGTCAATCTACGGATTTGCCAGGGTCTTCTCAGGATGCCCTCATTCGTATTGACTTGCAACCAAGATTTCGTTACACGCATCCGCTTGTACAACTGCATAGTCTTGTAGAACGCATTGCCCGCACGTGTTGCTAGCATCATCGTGGTTACTCTTCCAGTGTTTCAATATTCTAAGAACTATATTAGTAATGTGTTGTTTTTCTAAGCTCTTCCGAAAATTTTTGTGATCTGATTGTGAATATTCCAAGTGTACTAAGTCCTACTGAGTGATATACCAGCCGACATCTAGCACGTGGCCTCCTCAAATTTAAAAAAGTTTAGACAAAGAACACATTATCCGGTTTGGCATTCCTGTTTGATTGATTATATATATATAAAAATTAAATAAATATTTCTTTGACTGGCTCGAAAGGTCGCCAAAACCAGCATTACAAATTTAATATATAATAAATATATACAATCATCTGATCTTGTTGAGCATTTGAGGTAATAAAAAGTCTGTATGGTATATGGTATAAAAATAAATAATAAATAAAAAAATTGGAAGAGTGAAATTAAATTGGAAGTTTTCAAATATAAATCAGATTTTTAAATTAATAACTTTTGCATTCCTCAATTGCTGCTAACTTCATTCATCTCAATATATATATTTTTTTGTAAATTTAAATAAACATATATTTTAAAATGTGTTACCAAAGTGATGCTCGTGTCAGCATCAGCAAGCCTCGACTTCGGCATTCCTTCTTCTGGCTTTTGGGGAGCGAACAGCCAGTCGGCTGGCATATCGTGTGAAGTGGGAAAAGCCAGATGAGGAGCCAGGCTAGAAGTTTTGCGTCGCATTCAAAAGTATGATTAGTGTTTACATTGTCTTTGACTCTTGTTGCAGAGTCCGTTAAAGTCCGTTTCGATTTCAAGCAATTGTTTATTTATTTGATTGACGTTTGTTTAACTTAGTGCTTGAAAAACTATTATATTCGTATATTCGTATCAAATGAGGATAACATTTCTCTTATAACATTTTTACGGCTTTTTTAATTATCTTTTCTATTATTCCTCATCGGAGTCTTGTTGAATGTTGGGTTTAAGGCTGCCGAAGACCTTGGCAGGAATGGCTTTTTGTTCGAAACGCAGCTTCTTCATGATGAGACCCTCATCATCGGTTTTGGTGGCTGCAGCCGTGACGCCTTCTGGGGTGTTTTCTGTGCCAGCATCTTCTACCTCATCATCTTCGTCCTCGTCGCTGTCGCCAATGTCAATCTCATCGGGATTGATGACAGTATTGTCCTTGCCCTTGGCACCGCCTTGCGTCTCGCCGCGTACAAACATAATATTGGAAGCAGCCTTCTCGACTGGCTTCTGTTTGGCCTCCGATGCTGCCTGTCGCGCCTTCTCCTCCAGCAGGCGCATGGCATCGGAGCTAGTGCCTGGGCCAGCACCCGCATCGGCAGCGGCGCCATTGGTCGTATTGAGAAACTGGGCAGCCATCATGTTGACCTGAGTATTGTAGGTGGCCTGCACAGAGCGCTTGATGCGTAGCATTTCACGCATGGTGTCCTCGTTGCCATGACGCACCTCAAACTCCTTCCATGTTTGCCAAAAGTCGGCGGTAATACGCGGATCGCAAACCTAAAAACAATAAATAAATTTAATAATTATAATTTTAATTTACACTTTTATTATCTAGATATAACTTGCCTGTGAGCAATGGGCATAGATGGCCCTGGCACGATCTACCTCGCCAAGTTTGGTCTCCAGCTCCGCAAACTTGACGCACATGTGCCGCATGTTCTGCTCTGGCAGCGCCTCGATGGCCTTTTCATAAATCTCACGTGTGCGTGGTAGTCCATAAATTTCGGCTGCTTTTTTGATGAAGATGTTGTACATGTCAAACATCTCGTCCTCTTTAACAGCGCTGGTGGCACGATCGTAAACGGCCATGGCGTGTCGCGCCAGTCCATGCTCCTCCTCGAGCTTGGCATAGAGCAAATAGAAATACTTGGCATGCTCTGGCGGACACTGGTCCAGGCACTGCTCGAAAAGATCTCGTGCACGTTCCAGTTTGGTGCCGCCGTAGCGTTCCAGAAACTTGGTTAGATAGGAGTTCCAAATGTCATAGACATTCGGCCATTTAAAAAGCGCAAAGCCCTTTTCGTAGGCGCGATAGGCTTCCTCATAGTAATTGTGCTCTTCCAGGAAGAGGCCGTAATTGATGATTATTTGCGGCGTGCAAATCTTGAGGTCAATGATGCGCTCGTAGACCGCCTTGCAGGTCTTGAAAGTGCCAAAGGATTCTTCCAGGTCAGCGTACATAGACCACACTTTCAGAGATTTATAAAGACGCATCTGCACCGTTTCCGTCTCATCATGATAGGCAACCTTTCGCTTAGGCATGGCCGTGGCGCGCTGCATCAACTTGAGCGCTGCTTCGAACTGCTGCTGACGCAGCTCCATTTCGGCCCACTCGCACCACACGGCCGCCAAGTGTTCCACCTTGACGTATTCCACTTGCGTGCCACGCTCAAAGACCACACGTGCATCCTCCACCTGCCCGTTGGCCTCGTAGAACTTGGCAAACTCCACCCATAACGTGTGCAGCTGACCCACTGCCTGCTTTGGCTGCACCGTCTGCACTGCTTCCGTATATGTGTTGATGATATCCTCCGGCTTATCCTCATATAGTTTCACCCGCTTGTGCCATTCATGCACATTGTGCGGATTCTGACGTAGCAGCACGCTATTGAGCAGCAGCAGACGGCGCTCCATCAGGTACTCAAAACGTGAGAGACGCAGCTCTACATCAATGTCATCCTCCTCGTTTGCGTACTCATCATTCGCCACCTGCTCTAGGCGCTTGTTCAATGACAACTCCTCAAACTGCGCATACTCATCAAAGACCTGGGTGAAGTCCCGCACCGTGGTCACCGTTTGTATGGCCTCCTCATAGATGTCACGAGCACGATCAAACAAACCGGAGCGGACATAGTAATCGGCCAGGGAGTTCCAAAGGTGACCCAACTGATCCGTGTAACGACGCAGGCCACCACGAATGATCGCATCCACATTCAGTGAATGCACCTTGTGCGGATGCTTCGATATCATGTCGCAGAGCTCGTTCCACAGCTGATGATTCGACTTGCCGTGCTTTGACACAAAGTGCTCGTTGTCCACAATGTGGGCCAGTTGCTGTGCAGCCTCATCCAGACGCTCTGCCTCCTACGGTGATAAATCCATGATACAGAAAGCATTGTTTTTCTAAATAGTACAATCTTACCTGCAAGTATGCCACATACTCCTCGGCATCCTCGGGAAACAGCTTCAGATATCGCCTGTAAACACGCAGCGCCGTTTCGGGCATCTCGTAGCGCTGCACAAACTTCAGATATAGTGGCCAGATCCGTCCGTGCTGCGTTATGGGCAACGCCCGCAAGGCACGATCAAAAACGTGACGCGTACGCGTTATGCGGCACTGTGAGCTCATGAATACCCCATAGTCCATCCAGATGCGTGGCATCTTGTGCATAAAGACCAGCGCCCGTTCGAATGTGTTGTTCACCTGCTCGTACATGGGATCTGTGGGTATTTTGCCCCGCACCTGCTTCCTGCGCGTACGCAAATAGTTGTACCAGATCTTGTAGCTGCCAGGCAGCTCCTTCAATGCGCGCTCGTACACCAAATTAACGCCATTATTGGGCGCCTTGGCCTTGTGATCGATGTAGCGCAGCCAGTGCTTGACGGAGTAGGCATTGCGTAGAATCTCCTCCTCATACGGCACATCCTCTTCGTCCTAAAGATGTGCAGTTAGTGAAAAACAGAAGTAAACAGCAGCTACCATATACTTACAAAATTCAGCTCGATTTGCAGCGCTTGTGTTGTTTTTTCAGCCATTTTGCATTTATTTGCAAAGAAAAAGGCAACAAAAGCCGCAAAACGTTTGCATGCGCGTCCGCTACAGCTGTTTACGCACGGCGTTGCCACCCTGGTGAAAATAATGAACAGTGTAACCAGCTAGTATTGTTGGTATTTAAATACTCCAATAGGCAGCAAATGCGACAGCCCTTACAGTGCTGCAAAATGCATGGCAAACAGTGTTGAGCATCTGCACGCGGCATCTTTTTGGCGGCCATCACAACTGAGAACCGAAAATCACAAGCCAAAACGCATAAATTGATGTGTTAACAAATATAGCGCATTTAGCGAAACAAACGAACAACGAAACGACTTGAAAATGTCCACGGGCGCTGCACGAGTTTACATTCAAGTCGAGAGCGAGGCCGAGCAACAGGAGCATCTGAAGCAACAACGCAAAACGCTAAAGCCACTGCAGGCGAACACGAACGCCAACGACAAGGAGAATCTTACGGGACTCGGACGTGTCTCCATCGTGGATCAGCTTAGTCGCTTAAAGGCCGGCGTCAATATAACGCCCAAATATGGCAAACGCAAATGCGTTGATGCAGCCGCAACAACAACACAAATAACAACACAGGACGCCGATACACAAACGGAAGCAATTGTTGCTGCCAACGATGCCGACAAGCCCATCACAGCCGATGATCTGACCAGTGAGTGCGAGCCCGGCGAGAACTACTACAAACTGCTCTCGGAGCAGCGACGCGTTGCGCTGGAGGAGACGCTCAACGAGAATCGGCATTTGCATGAACGCATCGAAGGTCTGGAGGAGGAAATGGACACAATGCGCAAAGAACTCGACGAAGCTAAGAATCTGGTTGAAGTGCTCAAAGAAATATGCGACGAGGATGACAGCGACGAGCAGGAGGCTCAGGCCGAATAGTTACAAATGCTAATAACCAATAAACACATATTTTTATGTTTTTAAGTCATTATTTAGATTATATTTTGCAAGTAGTTGTAGTTAAATGATTTCAATTATCTTAACTTATACATTACACTATATGCAACATCCAACCCAATGGACTGGTCTCAATGTACGCCAGCAATAAATATTTACTAGTTAATGTGACAGTTATGTTCCAATAAAAGTTTGTTTCCTATTTTGCGTGTTGCCCAAATGGAGTTTTACTTTAGCCAGTCGGTGATGATCTCCTCATTGTGAAAGGTCTCTACATCGAACTGCAAGAGAATCGTTACAATTTCATTAAAGATTTGTTCAAATTGAATTAAGTTATAAGTGTAAATATCCTATCCCTTTCACTTAGGCAGACATATCTATCTTAAGCACTCGCAGGAGTTGTTCGGCTTTGTCGGTGAAACAAATTCATTAAACTTTTTGTAGACCAAAAATTGCCTGCAGTCCCGATTTTAACCAGGGGTTCAGAATACACGAAAGCCTATCACTCACACACACACTTTTCAGTGGGATTCTATATAACCCTGTCCACTGAGTTTTTTAGGTCTATATATTTAAATACTTACCGCATCTGTCGATACTTCAATGCACTCCTCATATTTGGGCACCGCGCCCATAACGTCTACATCATTGGCGGCTGCATTTAGATAGGCTGAATCTGCCTTGGCCGCCGCTATAAGCACCGCCGTTTCGCTGTCTGGAACAATAATCTCATCCTCGTCCGTGGCGGCTACTCTGGCCAGTCGTGTGTCCGCATCGTCTGGATGGCCGTGGGCTGCCTTCATGTGCAGACGCAGAGCAAAGGGTCGCGCATACTCCGCACCGCAAGTAACGCACCAATATTTGTTGGATATCTGCTGGCTTTTGATGGCCGCACTGCTGATGCTTTTCGCGTCGCCAGTTCTGTGGGTCGACATGTGCGCCTTGACGGCATACAACGAGGCAAAGGGACGATTGCAGACGGCGCACTGATACGGCTTCGTGTGCGTATTCTTATGCGCGTAGAGCTGTACAGAGGTGCGAAAGGACTTCGGGCAGCTATCACAAACATACAGACGCTCCGAGCTGTGAATGCGCAAATGATGCGAGTACACCTGGTGCGACTTGAAGCTGCGTAACGCAAATATACAGAAAGTTTGAGCATATGAGAGACTCTAGTACCAAATTACATACCGCTTATTGCAGGTGGTGCACACATACGGCCGTATGTTTGTGTGTGTGCGCAGGTGGAGTGTCAGCGAGTAGGAGACGCGAAACGTTTTGCCGCACACCTCGCAGCTGTAGGGCTTCTCGCCAGTGTGGACGCGCTCGTGCTTCACCTTTTCATAGGGCCGCGAGAAGACGCGCTCGCAGTATTGACAGGCGAATCCTGGTTTATCCTTGTTTAGATTGGCGGGCTTTTTATTGGCGTTGCTGTTGTTGTTCAGCGCATGGCGCTCATGAATTTTCAGATGCATCTCATAGTTGGTCACATTATCGAACTTTCGATTACAAGTGCCGCACAGGAACTGCTTCTGGCTCTGATGCATCTGCTTGTGCACAGTCAACAGGTTTTGCTCGAAGCTGCAATGAAATGGTAAATGTGGTTTTTTATTCATAATTTATGTCACCAAAACTGATCCAGAAAGATACCTTTGCAAAGCGAGGGCTTTCCAAAGTATACCAAACAGATCTACCAAGAAACCTACGGAAAAAATGATGATTGATTCCAACTTTTACAAGGGGTCATCTAATTGATTTAAAAAAAAAACCCCCCAGGCGTGCAAATGTGTAACATACTAGAAACTCGTTATTGCTGAATATTGTAAAACAAAATTTTTCCTTTTAAAAGCTTTGTTGCCAACTAACAATTGCATTAAAGCTATGCGATCCGAGTAATATAAGGGAGAGTTTGCATAGAAAACGTGACTATATCTTCATAAATATAAACATTATGGGATCGGAGGTGACGGTTTGGCATATTGACGATTTAAAGTCTACAGAGCGGCATAGAGATTCATGTTCTGGTCGTTCTATGAATTACAATATAACTAGATGGTGTCATATGCGTAGTACCGACCTCTTATTGCATATTTCGCAATAGAACTGATCCAGTTCGCTGTACTGCTGATGTGCGCCGACGGGCAGCGCATCCTGTATGGATTTGGAGGCACGTTTGTTGTGGATGCGCATGTGGAACTTGAGGCATTTGGGAGAACTGAATTTCGTTTGGCAAATGTGGCAAACGGTGCTGGTGCTATTGCTGCTTCCCGATGTGGCAGCTGTGAGTTTGCGTCGCATTGGCGTTTGCGTTTTGGCCAGCTTGGTGTTGTGCTTGCTGCGTGCTTCACCATTTGTGTCGGCCTGTGGACAGCTGTGGTCCTCGGCGGTCTGGCGCGTCTCGAATATGCTATGGCAATCGAAGCAAAAGTAGCGTTCCGATTTATTCGACACTTCCGCGATTTCGGCTTCATCTACTTCTGCTTCGGTAGCTGGCAACGGTTCGTCATCTTCCAGCACATCCCAGAGCTGGGGCTCGCTTGCCTCGTCCAGTTCCTCAATCAAATCATCCTCAACCACAATGGAATCAATGTCTATTGTGTCGTCATCGAACTGTATTTCGTCTTTAATTTCCACGGCATGCACCGTCACCTTGGACCTGGCCTCAACAGTGCCTGAACAGCTGTCGGGCCCACTGTGCGCCTGGTTATACGACTCGATGCTGTCAAAGTCGTTGCCACAATCTTCACAGTAGTAGAGCTCATCCGCACACGTATCAATTATGAAATGGTCAACATTGCTTTGTTTCCCTGTCTCCACGTGCGAGTGCGACGTTGTTGTCTCGGGTTTTTTTCCAACGTGCCCTGAAAACTACAGATGTGAGCGAAGGCAAGCGTCAATTTTTGAGCTTGATACGCACCTGACATGGCATTATTTCAGTTTAAACGCTACAAAAATGTGCTATACTCTCGGTACCCACATATGTGTAGTCCCACTTTTATTTCTGTCGCAAATTATATCCCAATATCGATAAATTAATATTCAGAAGCAAAACGATATTCGAAAATACTTTACTTTCGATACTCGGCTGTGGCGTATATCGATAGATGCTTATCAGAAAGCTGTTAGCCTTACATAGATGAGCACTGAAAACGCTCTGTTAACTGCAAAAATCGGTTGCATTCAAACTGATTAAATGAATTAGTTTTCTTTGTGTAATTTATTTGCTCTATGTGATTGGCACTAAGTTAGGCATATGTACAAAAACAATATAACAAGTATCAATATCGATATCATATCAAACATTAAACAGATCTCTTTACAAGCTATTAAACGACTTTAAGCAGGAATGATTGCAAGTTTATCTCACTGACTACAGGGTACAATTATAACTAAAAACGACCCGAAACTAAAATAACAATGAATACAATTGACAGCCAATACGCTTACAAACATTTGAAACGACATAGGCGCCAGCTGAAATTGTTACGAAGAGCGTCAGCCAGCCCAGAAATGTGAATTCACCGACGTGCGGCCTTATATGCTTCTGTAATCCCAGCCAGCCGCCATTGTCGATCAGCCAGTAGACCAGATCGTCCTCAATAATCTCAGCAAGTCCGTCAACCAGGGTCTGCAAGTAGTCATAGTGGCCCTGACGGACACAGTCAATGGCAAAACCGCCGCAGACGGAAAATATCGAGATAATTTTGCCCCAGGTGATGCTCGACCGAAAGAGATCTTTGGCCACTAGATTGAGCAGCATGGGCGCCATATCGCTGTCCTCCAGTTCGCCAAAAGGCGCGCGTGACAGCTGCCTTGAGACATTCGTGTAGACGCGCGGATGCATGCGTTCCAGTTCCTCGCCCATCTTCAAAATGGAAAGACATGTTAATTAGATACGGGATAAATATGTTAGTTCGATTTAGATACTCACGCTATTGAGCGCTGGAAACACCTGATAGACCACATGTGACGATGGTTCCAATATGTTGCGTAGCCTTTGTATCACCTTCCGATTGAGTACCCCAGCACGTCGCAGTCGCGCTCTAATGTACTGCCCACACAGACACTTGCCCTGGGAAAATAAATAAATATAACGAAGTTCAATTAATAACCAATTCAATTCACATCAAATCGAATCAATTCAACTGATAGCTGTTCCAGCTTTGATCTTTGGCATATGGGGCCATCAGTGCCAAGAGTACACGATTTGCAGGTGTATCTATCAGTTGCTAGTCAAAATTTCCGCCAATCCGGAATCACATAGTTTATGAATTCTGGAAACACTTCTAAAATACTTATGGATTTCTTTGCCATTTTGTTTGGGTTTGTCGGCACCGACATTGGGAATTGTTTTTATAGCACTTTTCAGCTGTTCGTGTTAGGTTTTGGCCAAAACAAAAAATTTATGCTTGTCTGGGATTTTGAAATTTTTGGCCAATCACTGAACGAGTGACACCTGCTAAATTTCATTCACACATTTTACACACCTCAATATAGTTCAAAATTGGCAGCCGACGTAGCACATTAAATGCAACTCTCGCAAAAATAATATAAACAGAACAAAAAATGATACAAACGAGTATGCTCAACTATGAGATATCGTTTAATAACTATCGTACCCTTAACTCGTGCATACACTGAGAGGGATGCAGGCTCGATTGGCTGACTAGTTAACAACAAGGATAAGGGTTTCATAGTCCATGGAAGATCAAGATACTATTCTAAAATATTTGGTTGTAAGTTGTAACTGTATTATATACCTTTAAAAATAACTATTAAGATAATACCAATAACAATGATAACATATTTATTTTCTTAATTTTTTTTCGTAAAAGGTCATATTAATTTTGCTCTACGTCTCCACATATAAGTAAATCGATATACCTATTTTACAGATGATAACTCAATAGTTACTCAGTACCTATAAATATATAATACCAAACTCCAAGTAGTACAACTAGATAGTAAATTGCACACATTAAAGCAACCAAATAATACCCTATTAAATTATCTAATCCGACACAGTAATATTACAGGGTGTTTAGCATAATAATTAAATGAAATATGGGCTTATTATTAACAGTGCGAGCTGTGCAGAAAGCTAAGAAAGTGAAAATATTTATAGGGATGTGGGTTAATCATTAGCCATTCAAAATTCTAAACAGAACTGGAAGTCTAGAGCTTATCTGGCACTCTACCCCTCACATTGGATATACACATAAAAGTAGCCAGCGAAACACGTGTCTAGTCTGTAATCTGCTACAGATCTATATATATATATATATATATATATCTATATATATGCATATGTGCATGTGCCTGTGATGGATGTCGGTTTGATTTACAATGTCATGCCGCTCGCAATTGTTATCGAGAGTCGGTAGTTTTATTTTTTCGCGCAATTACCGTTTGTCATGCCAGCCAACTTATTGGAAACAATTAACAAACTTTGTGTTTTGGCGGCAACTTGACATATGCCATTGCCGAAAAAGACTTGACCTTGGTTAACCCAGTTATTGAAATGTTGACAAGTCCATTGGGTAACTCTCCCCACAAGCGGTTAATCACCCCAGCGTGTGTTTACTGTAAACACTCTATAAGCTATAAATCCATCCAATTTGTTTATGCCACGCACTCTCTAAGCGCCGACATAGTTATTACCACCTGAAGATACGTTTTTTTTTATGTTTCCATTCCCGTCGCCTGTCCGATCCATCAACCCAACCCAACTTGCGGGTGTTACGAAACTTTCGAGCAATATTTTTTTTGCTCTATCATTTCGCTTTTTAGAATTTTTTGTTTTGTTTGCAGCTGTTTGGCTAACGTTTTTTTAGAGCGAACTATTTTGTTTACATTACCATGGGGTTTTTGTTTTTTAGTATATCTTTCTTTTGTTCGTCATCTCAGTTTTCGGTTGCATATTTTAGCTTCTAGCTGACTTTTATTTGGTTTATGTGACAGTTTTTAATCAGCTGGCTTATGGTATACCCGGAAGTTTTTTCTTGATCTGTTTTATTATACCTTTTTAAAAATTAGTAATAATTTGCTGCTATTTAATTTTAGTTGTGTTGTGTTTTATCTAAGAGCTTACTCAGCCAAGTTATATATGTATATAGCCCGCATTGTGCAGTTAACAAGCTCAACATTTTATCAACAAATGATCAAGAAATGCAACAGTTTTTTACAGCTATCGCTGTGTCGAGTAAATATTTCTAAATTATTTAATGGCAAACAAAAAAGTGCAAACACTTTTCCACTCAAAATGCAGTCATATTAAGTTTTTATTTTGTTATCAGCCGAGATAAACAAATTGCTAAAAAATAAAAATATAAACAAATATACCCATTTATATCTATGTATATATTTATATACGTATTTACATACGGGCATTGTGAGTTTACCCTGTCAATTAAACGTCAACGGCGAAGAGGGCTTATATACCGCATAGCCACGCCCACAACTTAGGTAATTTTTCAAATTGAATTTCTTTCTAAGTAAACAAAAATGAGACCACCAACTGTTTCATTATTTGCCTAAATTTTAACCAAAATATATAAATGTATAATTTGTTTGCACAGCCTTTTCATATACCCTGTAAATATTAAATGTTGGAAAAAAGGCGTGACAGCTAGCTTCTTTTGTATCTTGTATTTAAATAACTTATTAGAGTAAACTATGTTATTTGTGTTGATTGATTACTGATCAAATTTGATTAGACAATATATTTGTAATATTCTTTAATGTTGCTTGACTTGACTTTATTATACTAAATTTAACTTGAACACAGGGTATATTGTGGTGCTGGCTTCATATTTATCACTTTTTATCGCGCCCGTCTTGTTGGCGACTTACCTGATTAATAATTTCCATTTTGTACTCCTGATAGTTGGTCATGGTGCGTGTGCTGCTCGCCAGCGATGAGGTTGAGGCGGCGCGCGTCATGTGGCCTGCAATTCCCCCTGGCCCCGCTCCGGCACTGCCCACATGCACGGATCTGCCATTGAGCGGAGCTCGCAAAGTTTTCCACTCGCTGGCTGCGGTGGCAATGGTGCTGCGTCTATTTGCCGTGTAGATCTCATGGTCCAGCGAGGAGGATTTGAACTTGGCCAGCTTGGGGGTGGGCGTGGGTGTAGGAGTTTTGGGGGTGGCGGTGCTGGTGGCGGAAGCAGCTGTGGTCGGTGCCATGGCCATCGTCATTAAAGCGATGTCGCGCAGGCTATGCTTCGCTGCAGCTGGACAATGGGCCAAGCTTAGTTCTCGCTCTTGTGTTCTTCTTATTGCGGCTGCTGCTGCTGTTGTTGTTGTTGTTGTTGCTGTTGTTGTTGTTGTAGCAGCCTCCTCTGCCTCCCCTTCGTAAGCTTCAGCTGCATGCAAGTTGTGTAAAAGTCGAGCTTTTAATATTACAGTTGCTTTCGCTGATTGTCGCCTTGCAATGAGCACAGCTAGTTTTGCGCTTTTTTGGAGGTGGTTTGGCTTGATAAAATGTGCAAAACAAAATACAAAACCGAGAATGAATGTTGCGCGCAAAGCGTAGACCAGGCAAACATACACGAACGGCGCACACAAAAGAAAACAACTAAAAACTTGTTGTTGTTGCTGTTGCTGCTGGGCGATTGATTTTCGAGCTGCCTCTGTTGCTTTCTTTTCGCTTTTGTTGTTGTTGTTGTCTTTATTTTACCTTTTTTCTGTGGCGCGTGTGTTTTTACTGTCGCTTCGCTTCACTTTGCTTTGAACTTTTAACCGAGAAATCTACGAAAAAAAAAATTGTGCAAATGTCGGGGGATTGCCGCTCCGTCTCGGTCACAAATTTAGCGGCCCCGATGTTCTAACGCGTAAGAGTGTGCGCCGTTAACTCAGCTGCTGCTCGTTTGGCTGCGCTGCCCGCTTTGGGGCCGAGCTCCAAAAAAGCACGCAACCAAAAGCTCTTCAGAGCGAGGCAGCTACAACAGCCCTGTGCAATGCGTCTGTCGTCTTTTCATACCTCAAGTATGGCGCCAATTTCATATGGTTTGTGAATTTGCTTAGTTTTATAATAAATTGGCTTTTCAGCCATATTAGAACTGCCATTGCGACGTAGACTCTCGTTATAGTGCGATTGATATACTAAAAATATATTAACAGCAAACTATTTTTAAAACAAACATGTCGATAACATTTTGCTAAGTAATTTGAAATCGCTGCATTCACAAAAATATCGATGTTTGCTATACAACTCTGCGCAATAAGACCTAAATAAATACCATCTGCGGTATTTATTTTCTTAATTTATTAAGGTCACATTGCTCAACCGCGGGCAACTTCAAATATCAAGTCTGCTTCTTTTGGCATATAAATTATGCAATTATGAGAAAAGTTGAAATCTAGACTTTTACGTTTTTAAATCAGCTTGTAAATCGTTGGTATATTTTGGGAATCAATGTGTTGACAATAAAGCGAAAAAACATAAAAAGTAAAATCAATCCAAATAAAACACCAATGACCAGCGTTGTCCACTCCAAAGGATTTAGACTGTTGGTTGTGGGTAATACGTGCGTATTAATTCCACTCTGCAACGGCAATGAATACGTTAGTTAAAACTATTTTAGTAGTGTCCACATTTAAACTTACCCATCCACCATTTTCATTTATCCAAGGTACTAGCTCATCTTCGATTACTTCGGAGACGCTCTCCATAAGCTTTGGCAAATACTCGGGATGACCCTGGCGCACACAATCGACCGACAGACCACCGGCTATAGCAAATAATGAGATGACCTTGCTCCACGTGATCTCAACACGGAACAGTTCACGACCCACCGCGCCCAGCAGTAGACTAACAGCATCGGGCGTGTGAAACTCGCCGCCAGGATTGCGGCATATCTGTCTCGCGACACCATTGTAGATACGTGGATGCATGCGTTCTAGTTCATCACCTAACTGGGAATACAGATGACTTAATGCTCGTTTATTATGTGATAGTACGTATACTTTAAATGGCCATATTAGCATAAGAGCCTGAAAGAGTAAGTTCTACTGATGCAAAAACTCACCACCTGCACCGCTGGAAACACATCTCTCACTATGCCTATGGTGGTGTTGCTGTTGCCCAATATGCTGCGAATGCGCTGCAGTCCCAGCTTCTTGTTAAAAAGTCCGGAACGTCGCAGCCGCCGCTTAATATAGTGTCCACATAAGCAGCGTCCCTGGAGGAAAAAAGCTAAAACATGAGTACATGTACGTATACCTATTAGATATTATTACCTGTGTGATTATGTCCTGGGCAGGTATTTGAGCCGCTTTCCAGCCAATTGTATAGGACAGTTTGCGGGTAACCACATCGCTGACATTGCTGAGACGCCTGCGGGTCGTTTCGCGCTGACCCACCTCGAGGAGCGCCGCCGAGTGAAGCGTGGCAGGAAAACTGAATTTGCGTCGGTTCTGGGCCTGAAGCAGACGTTCCGCCTGTGTGCTGACCATGGGGAAGCCGTTGCTGAAATTATCGTTATTCGTTGGGAATGAGGTGCCTGGCATGTTGGCGCCAATGAGATCCTGAAAAACAATATTGACAACATTTGACCAAGAATAAATCAAACTGATCGCAACACTAATTGCAGTCATCGATAGCCGATTGCACGATATACGATATGCGATATACGATACAGTTTGTGCCTATTTGGGTTTCATTAATTATTTCGATGTCGTAAACTGTGTGTGTGGCGAGCGCTGCTCATGTTAAATCAATTAATTGCCATTCGATTTGGCTGATGTGGCAAATTTTTGCACGTCGTTGTCAATCTTTTGGGTGCCGGTGCCCATGAGAGACTTTTATCTGTATCTGTAACTGTAACTGTATCTGTATCTGTGGCTGTGGTTGTGACAGTCGATGGCAACGGCATGCTGGAAATGGGTTTTAGTTTGGCCGTCAAGGCGAAAACCTGCTACAACAACAACAGCAACAGCGCAACGACAGCAACAACAACAACAATCACAATAACAACATGAAGAACACAGTTTTGTAGTATGTATAAGCTCCCAGACAAACAATTATAATCAAAAATAATTGCCTCAAATCATAAATGTCATGTTGAAATTACATTAAATTTATGAATGACATTATTAACAGAGACTTGAGCCGCAAGGCAGAAAAGCCCACGTTCAGCGAATAATTGAAAAATGTGAAGAAGGAAAACGGATTAATAATAAAAGCAAAAAACAACTAGAGAGATGCAACCAAGCAACCCATAATATTTGCCCGAATATGGAATTCAGCTCGAATAATATCAGCCATGTACCTTATGAAAAGCACATGCAAGGATAAGCTAGTTAAGTACTTTGTGAGTACATCGTAATCCTCATGTAAAATTTTAATTAACAGTATTGAAAATTCAAGCGAAACCTCTTATTTATAAATATTGCTTAGTGGTGCCAGCTCCGATACTTTATCAGCCTTTTACGAATATAACAGATGCAACCTGCTTGTAAATATTTTTGTAATATAAACTTGAAGAAGTAAACTCTGAAAGTTGTCGATATATATATATACATATACATATATATTTATTATTTGTGCTAAGGATTTACTTATTGAGACTTACATCTAAAGACCGAGGTTACACTTGTTTTTAAAAGCGCAATAACAGTCTGCAAACCAACCAAAAGAAAAGGATTCTGTTTGTGATATTTAATTAAATAATTTACCTGTAATAAATTAGACTTTCTTAGACCCGAATTGATTTAGCTCAACATCCGTCTTTCTGTGCCTGCCTACTCAGTAAAATGTCGCTAAGCCTTGAAATTTGATGTGTAATTATATTTCCCATAAGTCGTTCATTACCGGCAAAATTGGCACTTCCCACACAAAAATTACATACTTATGAGGAGATTAGGTGTGGAAGCCTTTGGCATTCCTCAATATATATATAACAGTAGGTATATGTAGTCAGATATATGCATCTAAAGTTTTGTTTTGTTATTGTATTATTATTGATGACTTTTTACTTTGTGCTACCATCTTTGGGCACATTAACGACGGGCTCGTTAAGTTTGATTGGCGCTCGTGTCTTTTTGTTTTGACCATTTCAAACGGATGTCTGCAATGTGGCCAAAATGTTGTGAATGCGTGTTGTCATTAGTTGTCCGCCGGCGGCATGTCAAATGGCAAATGATTTGTGGATTCGGCACTGGCTGCGACAAGTGAAGTTGACCGAGGATGGCCATAGATACGGGTGTTGGAGTGGTATCGTCTAGGGAGTACTAACAGCAATTAGTTTTTACATAACCTGGCCCAATAAATGCTGCCCCGGCGCATCGTGATCAAGGAAAGTTGTCACAATCGATACAACAAAATCGTGTGCCTTAAACGCATAGAAAGTAAAGTTTTGGGCCACTTAATAAAATGGAATTCTACATGAGGCATTTGGGTCAGCCGAAATCACGATTATCGATTATGCGGCTTTAGCTTATAAAAGCTCTCCCACATATGGTTGGATCAGTCAGTGATTGCACAGAATGTCGACCAATTGGACGTACTTGCTAATTGTCAGCTCTACTCTTCTGCTGCTTGAACGAGCCTTCGCGGATGTGGCTCATTTCTTTGCGGCACCCTCCGAATTTGGCAGCTATCTGCAGGGACAAACGCCCTTTCAGCTGGCCTTTGCGCCACCTGCTCTATATGGACCACCAGCTGGCAGTCCTGTGACACCCGCACCTGTGGCACCCGTAGCGCCTGCTACCACGGAGTTTAGTCTGCCAGAGATCATTGAGAACCGCAGCGTTAAGGGTTCAAGCCAGGGACATGGCAATTTTATTCCCCTGAGCCAGCATTACCTTCCACCCAGCAATGAGGAGCGACCCAGCTATGAAATCCCTAAGCCAAGGTTTGTAGAATATTAAAGTGACAGGTCTTAAGCAAGGCTCATCTGGTTAACTTTTTTTTGCTGCCAAGACATCTTTCAAGATGAAGTGCACCTACTCGCATTAAAATTACGTGAGCCTTTTTGCATTTTGAAATTGCAATATGAATCACTTAAAGCTTTCATGCTTTCAAAAAAAAGCAAGCAAGTAAAGTTTAAATAGAATTTGATTGAGCCTAAAATAGTTTCGCCTAAAGCTTTCAATCAAGGATATACATATTTTCAAAACGAAAGATTGACTAGTCAATTTTAATGCTATGTAAGATTTCGTTTATTTATCAAACGTATTCTTATTGTGTTCATCATTTGCAATTAAGACGGCTACAGCTCAAGAGCTTTCACTAAAATGCCGACTTCAATCTCAGCTAATTAATTGTTCAATAATTTCAATTAAATCGTCGTAGAGCTTTAAAGAAAAAACTTTCAATAACAAGCTATCTGTTGTCAGTTATCTTAATTGGTTTTAGTAAATAAAGTAAAAACGATTTAGGGCTTTAAGCAAAAATTACTTTAGAAAAGACAAATTTAAGATGTCCGTTTTCAGCTATAAAAGTAAAAGTTAAAAAGAAGTCTACAGTTATATTAATTAAAGAAAAAACTTTCAATAACAATCCCACATTCAGCTCCTGATTTAAGTCATCTTCATTGCGTTTAGTAATTGCAATTAAAGCGACTTAAAGCTTTAAGCAAAATGCGGTTTATAAAGCTCACTTAAAGCCCTCTGTTTTAAGGTCTTTTGATTGAGTTTATAATTTACAAATGAAATGTTTTTAAGGCAATAGATTTTGATAAAAATCTTGCTTTAAGCATTAATTACAATTTTAACAGCTTAAAGCTCAGATGCTTTTCTATAAGATTTAAGTACACTCTTTCTTTTCGTTCCGCAGCCATGAGTTCGAGGGCTACTATTATCCACAGCCCAGTGCCAGCAGCACCACGCGCATTCCCTCGACAACAACAACAACGCCACGCCCCATCATTGTGCAGGAGCCCGGAGACGATAATGATGTTGAGCCCTTGCCCTCACCTGGCTATGATTATAATGCGCCACCGCAGCGCCCCTCAACGCCAGCGCCCGTTTACCTGCCGCCAGCGGAGAACAGTCCGCAACAGCAACAGCTGCGCCTGCGCCTCAAGGATATGCGCTGCCTGCAGTCGGGCTACTTTCGTGCAGTGTTGAAACTGGACAGTTTTCTGGGTGCCTCGCCAGTGCTGGATAACGACGACGAGGAAGGGCAAGACAAGCATTGCGAGCTGAAGCTGTCGCGCAGTTTTCTGCTCTTGGACATTGCGGGCGCAGACTTTGAGCGCTGCGGAGTGCGCACTTGTGGTCAGGATTTGTGTCTACGTCTGCGTTTTCCGGCCATACGCGGCCTCCGCACTGGCGGCGACTCCATTCTGACGCTGCACTGCAAGACGCAGGAGCGGGTGGCGGTCAAGACACATGCACTTAAAATGGGCGTGGCTAACGATGTGTAAGTCGCGGACTGTAGTGTGTCCATAGAGTTTGAGTAACATTTGCCATTCTTGTCGCACAGGCAGGCGCGCAGTGTTGGCAGCTATGCCCATGGTGGCAATCAGAATGCCTTTCGCACCCACGTGGAGCTATTGAGACGGGGCACCAATGGCTATACGCGACAACTGGAGAGCAATGGCGCGGTACAGCTGGGCGAGGAGCTGTTACTGCGCGCACATGTCCTGGCAGGCGATGGTAAGTTCAATGATTTGTATTAATACAAAAGTATTTAAAAGTACATCGAAGCTTTTCGCAAGGTTAAGTGAAAGCTCTTAAAACAATAAGACTGACTTAATCGGCGCTTACAATTAATTGTTTAATTTAATCCTATATTCGGCTGACACTTTAATCCATTCGAGAACTTCTACACGCTTCTACGCTAAAGCTTTCTGTGAGATAAATATAACTGTCATAAAAAGCTCACTTAATGCTTGAAAACACAACATAATTCCCAGACACGCTCAAAGAAGCTTTCTGTAAGAATAATTGCACATTTAAGATCGGTTTAAGCTCGAAAGCCATTTATGATTTACGTCAAATAACATGAAAGCTTTCAGTGTGATAAATTCTACTTGCATATCACATCTTCCCGCCTACTCTTATTAAAGGTTTCTGTTAGATAAAAATGTAATGACAAAAAATGTAAGCTCAAAAACCATCACTTTAACATCAAAGCACATGAAAGCTGTCTGTGAGATAAATTGTACATTTAAGCTCACTTAAAGCTCTAAAGCGATTTATTTTTTACATCAAAGCACAAAAAAACTTTTTGTGAGATTAATTGTACTGACTGTGTGCATTAAAGCTCTTTTAAAGCTTAATGTTATGTGTATGTGTGTGCTGTAAGATAATTATTATCAGAATGTAAGAATATTGTAGTGTTTAAACTCGTGAATAGTCCATGAATTCTCCCTTTACCAGGCTGGAACTACACCAAGCTAAGTGACGTGCAGCTTCAACGCATCTCAGCTGCTGGCGAGCTTTTGAATAGCGCCCAGCTGATCACCTCACGCGGCTGTCTCAATCCCGCCATGCAGACCATCTGCGCGCATGCGCCCAGCCCTGAGCTGCCGTTGGGCCAGCGACTGCAGTTTCGAGCCATCATGTTTCCGGGCATGCACAGCGGTGATGTGCTGGTCATGTCCATGCGCATTACGGCCTGTCTGGAGCGCGAAGATTGCCAGCTTACGGCGCAGGATTGCCAACCAGGTGTAGCACAGAGACGACGACGGGATACTCGGCTGGGTGCCCATGGCAATGGGACAGAGGCATCGGAATTGTCTCACATCACCTTCAGGGTGATTATGTCGCACATGGAGCAGCAGGAGCAGCCAGCAGTTGTCACCGATTTGACCAATGCGAATGTGGCTGAAAGAACCAAGTCATTGGCCTTGTTTGGCAGCGTGGGTTTTGTGGTCCTGCTGCTGGGTGTGGCCGTAATGACGCTTTATAAGATGGGCAAATAGCTCGCATGAGATAGGGATGGAAGCAGGGGCAGTGCAGGTCAGATAAGGGACTGTAGCTTTTTCTACTCCTAAAAGAAAACATTGAGTTCTGTTTATATTATAATAGCATTACTTAAATAAATTGAACAAGGCTTTTCTGGACAACTTCTGGATTTGAAGTGGTTTACTAAAAGTGTTCACGTTTCGTAGCCAGACTTTACTTTTCTTCATTTTCAAGATATATTGATAAATACAATAAATAAACTGCACAAAATACAACTGAATGATCAGATTGATTTACTATATCATAAAGCTGTCATAGGTACGATTGTTTGAAAATTTTATTTTTGTAAAAGCCTTATTATACCCTTTTAGAGGGTACTATAATTTCGTCATGAAATGTGCAACGCGTAAAAGGAGACATCTCCAATCCCTTAAAATAAAATATATATTCTAGATCAGCATCAACAGCAGAGTTGATATAGCCTTGTTCGTCTGTTTGCCTGTCTCTTTCTGTGCGAACTAGTCTCTCAGTTTTAAAGTTCTCGTCTTGAAACTTTGCATGGGTCCGACTTTCTGTTGCAGGCAGTACATATGTATGTATGTCGGCTTGACGACTGTTAAAGATCAAAAGGTCGAGCATAGAGTCCCATAGTTAAATACAGGATGCTAGTTAAATTCAGATAACAATATGTTATTCAAGGGTATCTAGTATTTAGCTTTTTAAAAATAAATAAATACTCTATTTTTTTCGAAAATCTTAGCTTTCATTCTCAAATCTTGTATTTTTCAATACTTAAAAGAATTTCTATTTTATAAACTCTCTTTAAGCTACATAAGCCTTTCTTTTACTTTGGCTTACTACGAAGTTTTTTAGTATCTTGCTTCTTATTCTGTGTTTTTAACGACCCAATCTTCTGTTTTGCTCCTTTACCTAACTGATCTCCATATGCAAACCCTTTAATTGCTTTCTCGCATATGCTCGTTTCCTGGCCATTTCTGATCCGTATCTGAACATGGACCCGAAAAAGCGTTCACCTAATTTCTACCTTCACATTCTGCATCCCAATGCTCGCTGGCAGCTCCATTAACCACACCCATCCACACACAGCTGCAGCAACAACTCAGCTGCCACAAATAATCTATGGCGCCAATCTGAGCCAAGAGCGGCTCCTTGGCGAAAATGTGCATGTGGCAAGCGAACAAATTTGAACTTATCTTCCGAGCGAAATCGGCAGCGGGCAAATGTTTGGCCTGTTTGGAGCTACTAAAACAGAAATTAGCACTTAATAAAATGTTATTTATGTTCATGTCGCATGTAATTGGACGGGCCTGAGAATAAAGCTACAAGCAAATCTCAAAACATGGCTCGACGACCGATTACCAAACTGTGCGCAATTCAAAAATTGCGATCTGTCAGTTTTATGGCCAAACGCGAAAACTGAAATTCTATCACGTTTTCACGCTTGGAGCACATTTAATGAAACCAAATACGCAAAGAACTCGCTTTAGCTTTTTGGCTTTGTTATTTGGTGCAATTTGTAGTCATTTCTTATGTTAATTCTCCAATCGAGCTGCAACTGAAGCCCGCACCAGTTGCCATCACGAAGGGGGGTACGAAATGGCGTCCAATTAGCAGCTGATTGATGGCCTAATACATCATGGGGGGCACACAACGTACTACTTCAAATAGTCATAGAGATAATAATTATTGGCTTGGGTGTTAGGCGATTACGTGACCACGTCAACCTCACTAGTTAACCACACTATGTAGTTATAGTTTACATGCATCAAGCCAATTTTTATGTACCTCCGTCTAGTACATCCATTGCCTGGCCTGATTTTCAAGTCCGCAACCCAATGACTCTCTCTATTAGATAACATATCGAATATATATACTTAATACCCTTGTAGATTAGTTATAAGCTAGCACATCTAGTATATTTATTTAATACCCTGGTAGATAAATAATAGATGTGCAATTTAGTCTAACGATCTTAAGCAACAACAAACTTTGAATTCATAAACAAATTTCTTAAGCGATATTTCCTACTAGAGCTTTGGTCAATTTCAAAAAGGATTTTGACAAGCTATGTGGAAAAATATAAAACTAGGAAATGTTGTTATTAACTGATCGTTTCCCTGGTAGCTTTATGCTGTTATAATGCAACATGAAACTCGTAATAGTAGAGTTTAGTTGAAATATCTTTCAAAACAGAAACAGTTTTGGCCGATAGGTCGTATAATTAAAATATGATATATGTAGATAGATGAAAAAGACTAGATCTCATAGAAATCTACAGACAGAAGATATAGCTAAACAAACAAAACTTTTTAAATCAATAAAATTAATAAATTTCTCGAGGCTTTATACACTTTATGACAAAATGGTATCAGCTTTAAGGAGCTGTGTTTTAATATTAAGTGGGTGTCCTAGCCCTAAGCCCCCTGTTTTTTTAATAATTCAATTTGTTTTATTGTGCGCTGGAAGCGATCAGATCTCTACCAAGAGTATTGTTAAAATGTTGTATAGCCCAAGTTCCCCACAAGCTAATACTAAATGGGCAGATCGGATAGGCCATATCGAATCCATAGAAGCTAAAATGTGTAACGTAGTTCTTTTGAATAATTATTCTTATCGAACTTGCATATTGCTATATGTCGATAAGCGTCCTGATGGAGTTATAGTGCTGTAAAACATCGTAAAAGATCATGACAAAGATCGAGTGCTGTACAATATTAGAGTCTTGAATATCGCACCTAAAACAAAGCTAAAGTGTTTATGACGCGGCTTTAAACTGTATGGCCAAAACGATATTATCTGAACAAAAAAATGTGAATGCTTTTTAAGCCCAATTAGTGGTAATCTTAATTGTATGTCATTGTACATATATCGATATTAATCAACACTATTGGTATAGTTGACTCTTCGAAAGCCACATAGTAGGCCCCATCACCATTCAAAACTTTTTGCAGTTATACGATTAATTGTGACATCTGCAACATGGTATTCGAAACTGAATCAAATTTCGCACGATTAGCGCGATTTGACATCAACATGAAACTGAATCGGGCGCGCGAAATGTTAGAACAAGCCGCGGCAAAGTTGAGCATTATGAAATCATTTAGTTCTCCGGCACGACAATGGCGCGATTATCAGGTGAGTCCAGAAAAAGGGGGGGGTAGGGGTCTTTTGTTTGCGTGTTAGTTTGTTTAAAAGGCCTGTAAATGCTGACCTATGATATTCCCACCGAATGCACATCTGTGGCGCAGAGGCAGCCACATTGCTGATCACATAACTGGCAAGTGGCATGCACCTTATGGCTGCCAGTTTGGGCCTACTCCGGGCTAATTAATAAAACCGGCACGTTTTGCGGCACAATCGCATGTGTTCCAGGCACGAACACAACATGGCTTGCAACTACTTTGTCTTTGTCGCAAATGGCAGGCAAAATGTTTACTTAGTGCACATAAATTAAGTGTCGAACATTCAGCCGTCCGATACCCGTCCCAACCCCTCATCTGTGCCCCTCGCCCCTTCACAACAGTCTCAGCTGGCGCTTAACTTTGTAGTCAACACTCGACGCGGGCCTCGTTGCCCCCTAAGCCAACAATTTACACTCTTCCATTCCGTAGGCGAATCGGAGCCAGGCCTAAAAACAATTTTCATGTGTCTCTCGGTCTTGTACTGCTTAAATTAGCGACTACTTAGTGCCCAATTTAGCAATTTCGTTAAATATTTATGAATGCACTTCATTTTAGTCAATTTTCAGTTTTCAATGAACAGCAACAGCTACAAGCCACAAGATTCTTTGAATGGGCTCAGGCCAAGATTCCATTAAGCTCAATATTTGATGCTCATTAAGTTATTTGATGATATATGTACTTGAGCCAATCGATTGGGTAGTTTTCGTACGAGTTTCGATTAGCCGTTTGACTAGGGACATATTTAAAAAATTTATTTATGACTAACGATAGTCCAAGAAGGTCTACAAACTCTTGCAGTGTAGATTTTATATACTATATGTTGACAAAAACAAAAAAGATTTGAAAAAGGAATTATATTGGATGATTAGTCTACTTATAGAATGCATTATAATTGTACTCTACTGTTGTACTATCTTGTTAAATTATATAATATAACGTGAAAGTAAGGATAATTCCGGAACGCGGAAGATTAAATACCTATTTAGACATTTGCCCTACGGTTTTGCAAATATTTAAGAATAGTGAAGTTCGTTAACTAAGTAAACTGAGCTTTATGATATATTGGTCCGACTTTGTTAAGACTCTGTATATATGTGGGGAAACTAGTGAAACTTATAAATGCCGAGTTTGGTCGAGATATCTTTATAAACAAAAACCTTTCCTACATTTCGACCGATCGTTCCGAATACAGCCATGAAATACTGATCCGATCCGACCGGGACGGGCATGACTATATCAACTTTGCTGTTGATGCTGATCTAGAATATATATATTTTATGGGATTGGTGATGTCGCCTTCTACGCGTTGCACATTTAATGACGAAATTATAATACCCTGTACAAGGGTATTTAAATTGAATACAAATGTCGGAATTTACATTTTAAACTTAATTGGAATTAAATATCTAAGAATTTTAAAGCTTAGCTGATTTAAAGTATAATCAAACCAAGTCAGATTAGTTTATTATTTCGAAAATCAATCACAATCCCAATCAATCACGCCTCCCCTTGTTGTCTGAAGTGCATTCCCATTGGTTAATCAATATAATAAAATCAAATCACATCGAATAGTCAACGCCTCGAAGCACTCATTAGCAACTTTTATTAACCAAATGTGTCGCGTGATTTATTTTTTTATTTTTACTCACTTCAATACTTCAAATGCGGCCAGTTGCCATTGGCCCGAACGTTAGATCGAGCCACTGCAGCGCCTTAAATTAACGTCAAGCATTTTGGCTAATACAATGCGAGTTTTTCTCTTTTATTTCCATGCACGCTCGCAAAGTGAGAAGAGTATATTGGTGGTGTTCAATGTTTACATGAAGAGCTTAATCAAATATTGATCAAATATTTGAGCCACGCCTACTAGGCTACAAGGTTCTATATCCGCTCAGCTACTCCACTTATAACTCCCCCTAAAGATTGATCTGTCGCCCCTCAAGAAAACGTTGACTTAAGTTTAGATGAAGTTCACTAACGTGCTCCTCTAAAGATCTATCCAGAAAGATCTACCAGTTACTTAAGATTGGCATGATGTGAACGTGTATTGTGCAGTCAGTTGCACCCGACTGCAAAATTCTCACTTAGTTTTTTCTTTTTATTGGCTGTTGTTTTTGCCGGCTTGGCAACTCGCTTTTTATTTTTTTAGTTGGCAGTCACAGATCGCGTCCGAGTCCGAGTCCGAGATTCAACTCAATTCGAGTTTGTGAGCGTTTTTTTAATTTTGTTTTAGCATTTTAGCCATGTTAACATTTGTGTTATTGATTTTTTACAACAGTTGACAGTTACGCAGGCGCTGTGGACGGCAATTCCTTCCCACTGCACCCCGTAATCAACTGTTTTTTTTTTTCGGAATTTCAATATATTTATACAGTGTATTTAAAGTAGAATTCAGTATATTAGGATTGTTAAATGTTCTCCTGACTGTATCTATAATAATAAATTATTATATCGACTTTTGTTAATCTCCCTAGAGGTGGGACAAAAGTATGTTTGCTCATTTGTCTCATTTTCAAAAAGTTGGTTTCCCACCATTTCCTTGAAACAGAGTATGTAACAGTCGTGTGTGTCTGAGTGCAATATTATTGCTTGATTTTTGTCGACTTTTTCTCGCTGACTTTTGCATTTGGCTCTGATTTGGCGCATGACAAACGATTCGAGCAATTTGACTTTCGATTTTTGATTGGTTTATCAAATCGCAGTTCATTAAAATGCCAAAATACATTTAATTGCATTTTTGATAGGCTAAACCAAACAGAGCAAACCACAGAAGCCTCCAATCCGGTCACGGTTCGGATATAATACTTTAAAAACAAAATATTTGTATTTAATCCACGATTACATGCAATTTAGACGCAAATAAATTTGCGGTCGTCTGACGTCTATGAAAAATCAAGCTTAGTACTAGGCAAGAAGATACCCTGTAATCGAAGCAAGCAGTGTATCAAACCTTTATGTTACATATTTAATATTCCTAATAGTCTTTATCCGGTTTTGAAGTTTTTCAAATAAATAAATATACACGAAAAGCCACAATCCAATTTTCGTGTAGCTTGGGGGTACCTGAGATAGACAGAGATAGGAATACATATATATATTTTGTATATACAAAGTGAATTACATTTCATTCCAATTGTAAACAAGCCTTTTACTTTTTTCTTTTTTATTAGCATAGGGTATATGCACATTTAAATACAAACGTTATGAGAAATTTGCAAAATTTGTGAATTACAATCGAATGCAGGTAGCTGCAGGTGTTTATATATTGCGGGGGATCATTAACTACTGCTCGTATCGTCGGGTGGGTGTTGATTTTGCATTTTTTATTTCATACCATCCACGGGTCGATTTACGTCATTCAATTCGAGCGTGTTAAGTTACTAACAATTTGCTATGAGTCTTGTTAATTGCAATGTGGCAAATATTGAGCTGCCTCGGGAGCGGGAGGTGCGGCGGGTTGGTGCCACGTATCGAATTCATGTTGACATAGTGAACAGCATGAATAATATTCTTTTGTTAGTTTATTAATGGCCATTGAGACGACTTAAGTAGGTGGCAACGGTCAAATACACAGTTGTGTTTAAAGATGAAACATATGGATGTACTTGGCATACACTGAGAGAAAATTAACATCTAATATTGTGTAGAATTAGAATATGTCTATGAATTTAGGGTTTACTGCAGTTTAGCTTGATGATAAAAAGCCAGATACAATTACTATGAACAATTATGTCGCTTCGCTCGTTTTAAAAGTCCTAGTTAAAATACTATGTGGCAACTCTTTTTATCTAAAGCGGGCTGCCACCTAACCCATCAAATGTGTGGGAGAAGAAGAGGTAAAAAACCACCGTTAGTTTTGCTTTAAAGAAACTAGAGACAATAAAAAAAATAATAATTTAGCACCAAGATCGTTAAGAAGAAGAGAAATGTAACTAAATAACATGCAAATAATGAAGAAGCCGTTTACCTCTATGTCAATCTTGGTAGACTCTCGTGTATTTTCGCACACTGTAGATTAATCTTTCAGCAGTTTCTTTTTTTTAAGCATTTGCCGCCTTTGTCAATAAACACTGGTTGTTTAGTAATCCAAATGACGTTGCCCGAGAAACCACGTAATAAAGAATCATTTATAGCAAAGTCGAATTACGTGTACGCACTACGATTGTAATTGTTATGTGGGTGTGCGCCTGTGTGTGTATTGAAACGCAGCTCAGTTCACACAAGCTTAACCCACACAAGCAAACAAGCAAAAAAAAAAATGAAAGAAATAATTTAATTAAAATAAAGTTGGACTCTTTGTACGCTATTGGGGGGAAAGAGTGCGTTCAACTTTATAATTTCGCAAGTGGCCTTTGGCTTAGCGGGCTCAACGCGTTATTTGCTTTACGTTAATGCATTAATTGGTTAAATAAATGGCCGAATCGAGCCGAGCCGGGCCACACCAACTTTTTCTTATCGGCATACAATTTCATTGATACGCGCATATTCTCGTTGTTTATCTTTTAGTGTCGGATGCGCAATTTGTGCTGATAATGATTTTGTGTTTTGCCTGTGATAAATGATACGCGACAGAGAAGTATATATATATACACCATATGTATGTACGTAGGTGTATATGTGTGTACGGAGACCTGTAAGCTGCGCGCGGTGTTGCATGAAAATTGCTTAATTAACTATGCGTTGCGCGTTTTTTTTTTGGGTCTTGAGCATTCACGGTCACCGTTTTGGCTGAAGGTTTTTATTGTTATCGTTGTTATGAGATACTTCAATGGCAACGATTTAATATGCCTTATAAAATCAATAATTTAAAACACTTGTATTTATAGAAATGGAACACTTAAGCCACTAACCGATTAAATCTTAATGGAAGTTAAAATTCGTTAAATGCAAGCCGCCGCAGCGCGCAACAGCTTTCAATCGTTTCTCGTGTCGCGTACGTGGTAGTCGAGCGTTGTAAATGAAATGAAAAACGAAAAGGCGCGCCGATTCAACTGGTCGCGCAAGTGTTGGATAATCTGGCGCAAAAAGTCGCTTGGCAGCACTCATCGATTGTTGTACGCATATGCATATCGATCTATCGATTGTGTGGGCTGAAGGGTTGCAGAGAGACGCTGCGATTGGCGTCCTCTGATAAAAAAGTGCAATAATTTTTCTCAAAAAGTGCAATAAAACTCGTTTGCAGCTCTCGGCACTTCACAATGTCGCTGACCATAGTCAAATATCGAAAAACAGCTGACGGCATTCTGCCCATAACGCCCACTGTGATATTTAGACCTAAAGTGCAAGTGCAGCCACAGCAAACTGTCAAGGTATACAAACATATGCGTTGAAAATATATACATACATCTGCTGAGCTGCCACAAACAGCTGTTTTCAGGCAATGTGGCAACCCAGTGAACATGTGGTTGTTTTAGAAAACACTTGAATTCCTTTTTGATTTTATTTTAATTTTAATTATCATGCATTACAGAAGGTAGCAGGCACTACAATTGCTCTCGGCAAAATACCTGCCGGAGCTGTTATCAAGCCGAGTATGAAACGCGCCTCCAGCAGCGCAACATCTCCAGGTGAGTAGGTAGTAGTTTGACTTCAGCATGCAAGATTTGCTCACCAAATCCACATTTCACAGCCGCTCCTTTGGTAAAGACACCGAAATATGTGATGCAGTCGAGCAGCTATGCCAGTGCATCGTCCCCTTCACTGGCTTGGCAAACGTCGTCCTCACCGCTGGCTAGCATTAAGAAGGAATCGCTGGGCGCTGCGATTAGTTCCCTTCCGCCCAATACGATTATAAAAGCAACCACTAGACAACCCCTATCCACGACCAACAGCCCGATGCCAGGTCATGTAAATGCACTGGGCACAGGCGCGTCGTCCCCTGCCGCAGCACCTGCGGTCGCCTCCGCGGTGCGTCAGGCTGTTTTCCTGAAACGCGATATGCCACAACGCACCATGCGCAGCATGACATTGGGCTCCATTGATATGGCCTCCACACTGCATCTAGGCGTATCTAGCGCACATTTGCCACTGTTTAAGCGACACATTTGTAAATACGCAAACCTGTCGCATCTAGACTGCTGCGTAACTCTGCGAAAGCTGCGTCTGAACGAACCCTTTGCTCTACTCGCCGAGTTTTTTGAGCTCAGCGAGCAAGATGTGGAGCAGACATTCAAGCGTACGCTTGTCAAGCTGGCTCGCTGCCTGCGTCCGCTCATCCGCTGGCCAGATGCCAAGCACTACTCTGAACGCTTAAAGCACATGCCATTAGCCTACAGAGCCAACCTGCTGCATGTGCGATCGCTGATTGAGTGCGTTGAGACGGAGGTAAGCGAGACGCTCAATTTTGGCTGCGACAGCTACAAGTTTATCCTCTGTCTCAACACGAATGGTAAGTAATTCGCACACTTTTCAACACTTCTATTGATCAATTGTAATTATTTTACAGGTGTTATTAGCTATGTGTCTGATGCCTTTCGTGGCGACTGCGATGATCTGCAATTGTTTGAGGCTACCAATTTTAAGGACATCATACCCAAGTACTTGACGCTATGCGCGGAGCCAGGCAAAGCTGTTAAACGCTCACCTAAAACCAATGTAGATGATGGCCTAACAGATGAGGAGTACGAGGCACAGGATGATGATCAGAAGCAAATCCTGAGCAAATTTGATGAACAGCGCATAGCTGGCCAATTGGCCAACATGGAAACGCTGTCCGTCTCGAATGGCGCACTGACCTCCACACGTGCACCGCAGCTCCAGTTGCCGACGCTGCGCGTCAATGAGCCCGCCTGTCGCACACAGATGCGTCACACGATCGACACGTTGCGAGAGTTCAAGATACTCGATCACTGTGCTTTGCAGCAGACCCCACTGCTGGGCTATTTGAACGAGATGCTGATTGTTGCTGCGGCGCTTTGTAATCTGCAGCAGCAGTAGAGTAGCAAAAGTTTAGCTTAAATTTAAACAACACCTGTTTTAAGGTCGTTACACTCGCGATTATGTACACAATATGTTAGCATTACAATTTAAATTTTGATACTAAATGTTGTATTTAGTCACTTTTAATTACTGTATTTTGCAGCGGCAACAGCAACAGAAGCTGGCACTTTCACATGCCTGCTCTTTGTTGTTAGCACAGCCCTTGATTTGCCGTAGCTGTTGGTTGCAGCAATTGCATTTTGTGTATATTTTAATAGCTTTGTATACACTTTGCAGCGAGTCCTATAACTTTGTCAAGCGCTGAGCAAGGCATTTAAGGAATCCGTTTAGTATATTGTACATATTCTTAAGCTGCTTAACCATTTAGTCATGCCATATAGCACATATGTTTATACGCATTACAATATCATATAGTTTGTTCCATGGCAAAAATCGGACAAATATTGAGTTTTCTTTCGGTCAATATAATCAATAACAAAATTACAAATATCACGCATTAGTGTTAGCAAGGGTATAACAATGTCGGCTAACCGAGCTTAAAAATTCGTTTCTTGTTGCTATAAGCCTCATAACGAGCTGTGTTTAGTATGCAGTGCAACAGGTTGCTGCGGCTGCTGGTGCTACTGTGGTGGCTACTGCAATTTGACCTTTACATGGTTGACCTTTAGCAACTAGGCATTGCTAATATTTATGCACACATATTTGTATGCCATTCCATGCCTTGTTTTCATATAGTTTCATGTATTTTGTATTTTCATGGCTTACACAACCTTTTTGAAATGGCCGTCGTTGCCATGCTTTAGACACCCACGCGCTGTGTTAAGATCTATTTGTGCAGCTGTCTGTCGCCTCTGACGTGCGTTTCAAATTGCGATGTTTGCTTTTAATGCCCTAACTGGCAGATGTCTTGAAACTGTCACTCATTTTAGCAGTCCACTTTGGCAGGCATCCAATCTTTTAAATGTTTGATAATCATTTGGTATATTATTGGTTTAGTTGAGGTAGGCAACAACAAAATTTATTCGTTGATCAATTGCTGAAGTTAGCATACAACTGCAGATACTTAGCCATATAAGATAACTTTGATCCCAACCAAATATTGCTTGTTATTTTTAATAGATATTGAAGTCTTTTAGAAGCTCCTTGGATCCTGTAAAGACAGACCCCAATAGCGCATTGAGAGCTATTCGCTTCCTCTATTTCAACCTTACCTGCGATTACTTAACTACAGCATTTGAGTCATATTACCTGTTTATAACTAGTAATATCCATGCTTCCCCCGTGGCACAATAAACAAGGCCGTTTGTCTGGGGTTATAGAGACCTTTAAAGTCGTGTGACTGGTAAAACAGATCGAGCATCAGGTTAGTCGATTCACTTCTAGACTTTCAGCGCAGTTTTGATAAAATATTAAAGTTCGGAGCTTGAGTTTAAATTTGGGATAACACTGAGCTAGCATAATGTAATTTGTACTAATTTTTTAAAAATCCAAGTAGTATACTTAATTGAAGCATATATCATAAATGTTTTCCTGTTTTAACTGTGGTTTGGCAAATTCCTCTATTAGTTATAGATTGGATAGATATACTAGATACACTTATTATACTCAAGCATAAAAATATGTATATATGCTCTGAAAGTGTATTCGAATTTCAGCGGAAATATTTTTATTTTTTAAATTAATAACTAATTTTATTTCAATTGATGAAACAGAAAACACATGTCACAGCAAAAGCGAGGTCTTTTGTTTTCTATTGTTTTGCTTTATTTACGGTAAAAAGCATATAAGTAAACTAAATACATTCATATATACCATGTACATATATATGTTATATATATATATATATATATATAGGTATGGTAAAAATTTAACGAAAGATTTCAGTGAACTAGCCGCAAATGCAAAGCAAAAAACTTAGTATATAGTATAATTATCAAAAAACAAAAATGTGCACAAAAATATTTGAATTTTCAACACATTTTCTTTTCTTATGAAATGTTTTCGTGGGGTTTCTCTTTTCTTTTTTTGAACTAGGCACAATTTCAAACTGTTTTTTAGGGCTTCAATACGTTTCGATACGCTACGTTCTGGGTTCAAGTTTTGTCTAGTTGCAGGGAAAGTGGGAAAGGGCGGGTGTGTGGGCTTTAGCTTAGGCTAGAATAATTAATTTAAAACTTGCTTAATTCATAAGTGACTTTTGCGTACTAATTAATTAGGTAGTTTATTAAGTATTATAAAGTATTTATGCCTGCCGTAGCTAAAGAAAACATATCGCAAAAACTCAGTGTTTGGACAAAATATTATATGTTTATATAATATAGATCTGCCAGCCATTATATAATAGTTTATCGTTTCTTTTCGTGTCAAATAATAACAAGTACGTTTTTTTTAGAATGTTGTGCATGATATGCGGGATGGGGGTGGGTGTGGGGTGGGGGTTCTGTACGGAGTGGGATCTCAGAGTTTTTGTATAATTTCAAATTTCTTTTTTAGATCAACGCTCTCGTTCTTCGGATCGTATTTCTTCTTTGAGGCCAGTTTGGCGCGCATTTCGGCCACGGTTAGCGGCAAATTCAAGCTGCCCGCTCGATTCATGCCCCCATTGGGCGCTGGCACTGTGGGCGTGGCACTGCCATTGCCAAGAACGTTGCTGTTGCCGTTGGCGGCGCTGCTGTTGGTGCTGTTGCTGCTGCTATAGACGCTGCCATTGTTATTCATGCTGGCCACTGCGGCCGATGGCGGCGGCGGTGTGCTCATCATTTTGCTGCTGCTGTTGTTGTTTATGTTATTGTTGTTGTTGTTGGTGCTGCTGTTAACATTATTGTTGTTGTTGTTGCTGCTGCTGCTGTTGCTGTTGCTGCTCGGCGATTTGTTGCCATTTTGAGCTGAGATTGGCGCTGCTAGAGGCCCTGTCGCTGGCGCCATGGGCATGCCCCTGTCGACCACATCCATGTCGCTGGCATTCATTGTGCTGCCACTTTGAATGCTGCTCGCATTCGAGATGCGCTTTGTGCTGGTCACACTGATGCTGCTGATGTTGGCACTGGCGCCGGGTATCTCCTGCTTGGTGCCCTCATAGCTGGGCGGACTGCTGCTGCAGCCGTTGCCATTGGTAACGGGCGATGATGTCGATGATGGCGACTTTGGCGGCATCTCAATAGCCTTGCCGTCCACATCGATCAGCAGCAAACGCACCTCGTTGGCAATGGCCTTGATGCGGGCCACCACCTGTTTGTGTGTCTCGCTGCCAATGGAAACACCGTTGACCTCCAGTATGCGATCGCCCTCCTTCAAGCCGGCTGCCTCCGCTGGCGAGTTGGCGTCCACCTTGCCAATGAACTGACCCGGCTTCACCTTTTCCGAGTGCAGATTGAAGCCATAGCCATCGAAATCGGGTCGCTTGACTATGTGGCATGTTTTGGTCACGCCCGGCGGCAGCGTGGGCGGCGTAGGCGTCTTGGGCGTGGTAGATGTGGACATGGCTGCAAGTAAAGAAGAATTACACTGTAAATTGAATTGGCACACAAATTCTTTGCGAAGATTGGGCAATATAGCAAAAAGAGAAGCGAAATAGAGTCGAGAAAACCCAAAAACTCTTTAAAGGTTAGTCTTAAAGGTAGTCGTGAAATAGGGAAAACTACACGAAAAGGATCAAGCCAAGAAATGGAAGGCTTGCTTAAAAGTTATATACACTTTGTTGCATTTTCCTGTTTAGACTATTTTGTAAAAAAGTTTCAAGGAAGTTTTAATTCCTCTTTTTTCATATCTCAAATCTAATTTGTACAATCGGGTGTATATCTTTTGAAGTGTGTCTGGATTCCAGCCAGCTCCACTGTGATGTAGATATGTCCTTATTGAAATTGGTTTTTTATACCCTGCACCAATTGAAAACGGCTGAAAAGATTATAATGTATTTGTGGAAATGTATGTAACACGCGGAAGGAAGCATCTCCGACTCCATAAAGTATATATATTCTTGATCAGCATCAATAGCCGAGTCGATCTCTATGAGAGATAGAGACTTGAGCGTAGGTCCTCCTAGCGTTTGGGCAGTTTACAAGCAATCCATAAGAATCTATATCGAAACATAATCTTTTGAGCAAATCTCTTTGGTTTTAATGGCTAGGGTCACCAAACCTGACATGTAGCTTCTAGAATAGTATATGAAGTTCAAGTATCTTTTTTGTAGCTACCGCAGGGTATCCCTTAGTGGGGCACTCCCGACTAGAGCACCTTTTATTTGTTTTCAGCTGGTTTCGGTCTTTTTCACTGTTCATTTGCTGATAATTTGGAAGATTTTTGTAATGAGCATTTTGTATTTTTGCGTGTTAACGAGCGCACCAATCAACTTCAGTTTTGCTCTAATTGAAATGGCGCAAAGATCTTTGGCGTCTTCCTGAAAGTCGTGCATGTGATAAGAAAGTCGAAAAATTCCCATACACAATTTGATGGATCAACAAAAGTGCAGCGGGTAAAGTGGCTGAGTGTATTTTCTTGATGACATGGGCTGCGTATTGATATCAGAAAATTGATAAGCGTAGCCTTTCATTCTTGGATTGCTATCAGCATTTGGCTTATCGCCTGCCCTTTGCCTGACGGCAGCATGACAACACTTTGACCCACATTCCCAGCACATTGTGGGAACGTGTTTTAAGCCAGCTTTATTTTCAATTGGCCAATACCCGCGTTAATGTCAAAACCCAAGTTTTATTTATCTGCCAAATACTGTTCATTTATGTTTATTAAATATTTGTATGGCCGTGCTTAAAGGCAGCCCAAATAGAAATTCCACTGGCATGTGCTCATGGGTCAGAATACCTGAATGTGTTGACTCTTATCGTGGGCGTTGCGTCAGGCGACGTGATTTTTTTTGTTTTTGGCATTTTCAGGCGTCTGACATAAGTACAGCTAATGCCATGAATTGCGACAATGCAACTAAATAGCTTGTACAACAACTATTTGATGGATTATAAAGCTTATGTACGCATTTTCCACTTGCCAAAAGTACAGGTAACAATTTATAAAGTTCTGTTGAAGCTCCCAGGCTTGGAAGCAATAAAATAACATGACATGGTTCTGCTTGCGAGAGCAGATGTGAGAGCCAAGTTTCGCAATAGAAAATCTTTTGCTGACTTAGTTTCGCACAAACGTTTTACAGATTTTTCGACACTTGCGGGTGGAATTTCCCAAAACACGTTTTATAAATATATTACCAATATATTTTAACCACTTTTTTCTAAATATTTATATATTAACATATATAAATTATTATATTATCTTAACATATAAACAATTGTAAGAAATGTAATTATGTTTAAACTTTTTTTTTCAAATTAAAATAAATTTGTGTTAGTCATATGTGTGAACATAAATGTGCTTCCTTTGCTTTCCACCTATCAATTAACTATTTGCAATTATTTTACGAGTATTATTTTATTTTTATTTATTTATTTCTTTTCGTTGCTTGTGACGTTTTTTTCGAATTGTCAGTTCCACTTCCTAAAACAACAAAGTACTAAAAACCTACAAACATGTATGTATGTACCAAAGCGCCCAAATGTGCTATGCACAATTGCTATTATTATTATTTTTTTGATGTTGTATTTTGCGTTGCTTGTTTTCAGATATATTTTCGCCTTTTGCGCCTCATTGTTTACTTTGATTCATTAAAAATCGCTTACGATAGAAACTAGAGGGCTTTAAATTGTTATTGTCTGATCTGGCAGTCAAGGTCGTCTATTGAGCGCATCTTAAAAGTTGAACAGCGGAGTTTTGTTTAATAAATTAAGCGCGCAGCGCGGGGGAAGAGGAGGGGCTTCATTCAACAGAACCGATTAATTCGCAGGGCTTCAATTACGAGTCATACCTGCCCGGCCATAAATCTTACAGACAGCTGCTTCCCAGAGATGATTCAGCGGACAAAATAAATGATTATGTATAAATATGTTTATAAATAATTTCGACTCGAACATGCGCAAATAAATGTAAAGGAAGTGCCGCACAAAAAATACCTGCGTCTCATTTGAAATGCTCGAGAATTGTTTTCTTATTTCACGGCATGACATTTACGCGTACCTGTGCACAAGCTAAGTTCAGGGTCATTGGAATTTTAAAAGGCTTTGAAGTATTGCGGTTATTAATATGGAAAGCCACAATTCAATTGCTTTAGCTAATAAACTCTCAGGGTTACATTTGTGCATGTGCATACAAAAAGATGTTAAAACTTGGCCATATCTGTTATACAGCTATTAAAAATTTCAGTTTTACTAGCAATGCCTTGTTGCCGCATTTCATTAGACAAGTAGAAAAACAATAATAATATTTAAACAGCTGTTAATCCATTAAAAATGCGTAATCGAATTGAGTCAATTGGTGATACAATTATTTATTTATATTAATAAAAATGGGATAAAAACCCTTAGTTTTTGATTTCATTGTTGCCAAACTTCAATAGTTCTCTAAAATATATAAATAGATCATAGATTTGTAGAGGTTGAAAGAAGTAGATTTACTTTATATTTATTTCAAGGACTTTTAAGATTCTACAAAATTATTTGTTTAGTATTGAGTAATTTGAGTCTTTAGCCATCGTTGCCAAATCAGTCTTCTTATAATTTCTATACTGACAACAAACTAAATAAATTATTGCAAATAATTATGGATAATTATGGATAAATTATAAAAAATAAAATAGTATTAACAATATGTAAGATGTTGACAGGAAAATCAGTTTAAAAACAAATGCCAAAAATTGCACTAAAATGGGCAGATAATAGTTTCATTGTTAGATAGACAAAAGGCTATTTATTATGAATGTTATATTCAAATAATTTATTAATTTATGAGCAGAACTCAACTTTTTTTTCGGACAGAGCTCAACTTTTTGAGGTTTACATTCATGCTGTGTGCCCCCGCGTCTGCCAAACATCTCCCGCCCGTGGGCCCCACTCGATTGAGGAGCTGTGTGCAAACTTTAATTGAATTCGCAATCAAGCATGAAGTACACACACACACACACACACACGCACACACATGACACTCACACACATTAGTTTTATCAGTGACAATGGAGAAATATGCCCCGGTTTGGGCCCCCCCTGAAAGCAGTGCAGAGACCCGCATGAACGGCTACGCGACAGCAGCCTCCATTGTGCTTGTTGTTGTTTGTTTATTTAAGCGGTTTCTCATCATTAAAACAAATTAGCCGTTAGGCAGCAGCACAGGTAGCACAGTCTGCCTGTCTGTCTGTCAGTCCGGCCCGGCCCGATGTCCGATTCTATATCCGTCTCCGTTTCTCAGCATTTTGCGCACATGACAAACGCGCTAAAAAATTACTTTGCTGCCGTTAAAAACTATTGTTATTTATATTTATGCACTGTTCTCAGCGTGCAATAAGAATATATTCAATATCGGCTAAAGTGCGACTTCAAAAATGTTAAAAAATAAACAAATAAGAGTGCTCTAATCGGGATAAAATTGAAGATACCCTATCTGTATATACTATTCTAGAAGCTATAGACGGAGAGGCAGAGGGACATGGTTAGATCGACTAGGCTATTGATGCCGACCAAGAATATATATTCTTAATTTTTTACCATTTTCAAGGGCTTCAGGGTATTTGATTTTATGATCTGTTGTCGCAAAATTTGCTAGGTGGAATCAGAAGATCAAGATAAATTTACAAGGCGCATGGCGCTACCTATACAAATGTTCATTTTTTTCATTTTTGGGAATAATAAGGAGAGGTATTCAACAAGTGAAATATGTTTAATGTGCATATAGTATACAAGCATCAACATACCGATTTCGATAGAAATATCTCTTATAATCTGCGAGTTATGCTAAAATGAACATGCCTCAAAAGTGAGTTTTGTGTAAATTATACAAATGGGAGGAGATATGGAAATTAAATTGTAAATTATAAGCTCGTTCTGTGGCTGCTATTAAAATTATTATGTTATTTATTTATTCTTTTATTCCTTAGGTTTTGTCGTTTCCGCATCAACATGACTATATCGAGTCACTCCGTCGACCTGAACATGAATAAATATACTTCCAGAGGTCGGAGATGCCTTCTCCTGCCTGTTAAATACATTTGCACAAAAAAGTCACACTGTCATCACTGCATTCTAGTCACAGTTTAAGAGTCACTAAATTTCAATTCAATCACCTGCTTAACTAAGGTGTAAACAGCGCATTAGGTAGTCGACAACTTTCAATTGCAATATTGTTACAGGTTTTTTCTTCTTCCAGCAGGAAAAGCCAAACGCGCAATTAAACGGAAATTTGTTTTACGCGAAATGCCCACGGCACATACACTTTGTACTTATTCCGCAGGTAAATCATATTTTAATTATTTTCGTTTGTTTTAGGAAAAATTTTGCAGCGCGAAATTTAATTAAGTTGCCAGTGTCTCGGACTGTTCCAAATCAAATATTAGCACGTTCTCGAAAGCAACATGCAAATTGAAGCTGATAAGCGT